ATTTTCATATTTATTAAGCCCGATGGGGGGGCGGTAGGATCGAATCGATGAGGCTCGATCGACTGTAATTGCGAATTAAAAGGTGCTCGCGAGAGCGTTCCACGCGATCCCGCCGCACGCGAGATCGCTCGTAGGAATGCAATTACTAAACTCGCGCGCGATTAAGCACGATTTTTCAAAATCGCGTATCTCATAAACAAGGCGAGGCCCAGGTGTAGCACCTGATGGCCAGTGCAATTTCGTTTTAAATTGATCCGCATCCGTCTTTCCCGATCTCCGTGCTTGGTGACGCAGCGCGCATCGAGTGCGGGCCGCGAGTAATTATCCCCGAAACGAGCAATTTTTCACGCGATCGCGGCGTAGCATACTAATAAACGTCGATTGTCGCAGGTGTGACGAGCGTGTAGGCCGCTGCGTGATTGAAATGAAATGACACGGGCGGATCGATATTTCTCGCCGAGACAATTACCGCCGGTAGGTCTGCCGTCGTCGTCGTCATCGAACCCTGGAGAGCATCGGCGCGCGATTACGCAACAATCCTCCTATTTCGAGTACTCTCACCGTCCCAAAGAGGTTGCGCCGAGGCTAGGAGAGGTCGTGCACGCCGAAGAGACACGGTCGATTCCTCTTCCTCCTCTCTTTCTTCTTCCTTTTCCTATTCCGCGAATGGCGTCGCGGGGCCGGCACGAGGATGGCGCAAGCACCATATCATTCGTGACGAACGACGTTAGTCACGAGCCAATTTCGTTCCTCTCCCCTTCGTCTCCCGGCCCGACCGCGAACGGGAAGCGCGCTCTTTTTCCACGCCGTTGTCCGTTCGCTGACGACTCTCTTGGCAGCCGAAATTGGCGTGAGTTGACTCCCTTTGCGTAATTATTGACGGATTTAGAGTGAGTATTAGAGAGGGACCCTCTAATAAGAGTCATGAGACAGCCACTTTTGATTGGTCGGCCACTTTTCGGCAACTCCCGCTGATACTCGAATTCCTATATTCGTGTTGTTTTTAAATGTAAACGGTACAATTAAAGAATGAATCTTTTAAAGGTATTAACGAGTAGATTTCTTATATTACATGTCTAAATAATGCATACTAAAAATATTGCTCAATCTCGCAGAGAAGCGAATTGTTCATCAGTACCCAATTTATCCATCCAACATTTTTTCCCCCATAAAACACAACGTACGATATTTCTAAAAAATACTTTTATTATGTAGCCTTTGGCTGAAGAGTTCTTGTAAAATGGACACAGCCATTTTCTATAGGCTCAGGTCTATTTCACGTTGCAAATGCTTTGATAGCCGTATAGATCAATCATGTTCTTTTTTTAAACGCTCCAAGGCATATGCAATAGAAAATAGACTGTAGCCTTAGAGTCGTGTCAAAGTTACAGAGAGACACAATATATTTTTCTCTTTCGCGTGATTTTGGCAAAATCACGTCGTGTTCAGACTCTACTACAGAGAAAGTAGAAGTACTGTAGAAAGTCTCTACACAGTAAAAATGTTGTGTTAAATTTATCATATTTCACATGTCTCAAACGATCCACACCAATGCTTGTGTTGATTCAAGATGAATATGTTGGAAAGTAACACAAATATTATGTCAAAAATTAATACAAAATTAACATCCATAATATATTAATCGACACTGTTATTTTAACACTTACAAGTGTTATTTACTTAATATTAATACTTAAATATATTGAATGTCAACTCAACACAAAATATTGAAATGGCATAAATACAAATATTAAACTAACACACAAATACGTTAATAATTCCACGCAGAAATTTTCACAGGTACCGACTTTAACAGAAATACAAAATATTTTTTACTGCGTAATATTTGTTTTGGGCGACACACGTGGGAATTGGGAAAATTTGTCCAGTGTGTCGTTCCCGGATCGATATTTCAATTCTACTAATTCTACTTCAAGTCTAACTTAGTTCTGCATTAAGTATTCAAAGGTGCTTCTATTGTGCCATTAATGAGGAAGTTGTCGTCGCTTTTTTCACTCGAAGACTTAACGTAGAATTAAAAACGTCGACTCGGGTCCAGGCGAGTTCTTTAATTGCGATTCTACGATCCGTTCATCGACCGATCGTTATCGCATAGAATGATAGAGAGAATTATATGCCGTATGAAGTCTATTATGGATACGCGCTCGTGCTCGAAAGAGGGAGAAGGGAAGAGATAGAAGAGAGAGTGTGTGTTCCGCGTGCGCGGTCACCCAATGCCCGCGCGCAATGGTATACGTGACACGCGTGCGTGCGCGCCCGCTCGCATTAATGCGTCGATCGGGGCCGTGGGAATAAGCGAGCGTTCCGCTGGCACGAGCCGCGCGCCGTTCACTCGGCGGAGGACAGCAAAGGCCGCGATTATCGGCCGCAGGCAGCAGGAGGAAGTCGGTAGCCGATTCCGCGACACGTGCTTTTCCCTCGCGCCGAGAAATGTCAACCGAGAAAGTAGCGAGACATTGTTCGCCGCGTGCGCACGAGCGACTGCCGTCGACCGGATTTATCACTTTCGCCATTGGCTACCGGCAGCAGTATTCTGCGCCTTAAACATTTCGTTGTTCGATTTTCGAACATTTCGACAATTTCCGACAACTTCGCTCATCTTCAAGAACTACGATCACTATCGGCGCGACGAGCCGTTTTTCATTTTTAATGACGACGCGCGAAATAACTTGGCATAGGCGTAACGACGTTTCTCGTTACATTGTGCGAAACATAAATTTGCGAATGTCTCGAATGCTACGTCTCGAACGAGTCGAACGGGTCCGAGCGTTATTCGCGACGACGAGGCGATTTCGGACAAGGAAAAATTCCACCGTCGACATCGACACTTTGATCACTGTAATTACGAAAAAGGCTATCGAACGGTTGCGACACACCCGTTGCGACCAATTTACGTGATCCGGATAGCCGTGAGACGGGTCCGAATGAGGTGAGGGAGCCCGTGGTAGTGGACAACGGTAAGAAGATAATGAATTAATTTATTTAAGCGACTTGTCGCACGATGCAGCCCGAAATAACTCGCGTAATTGATACATTTCGGGCGTTACTTCTCTTCGTTCTCAGCGCAATGGTGTCGCGCCTGGCCTCCTTCGAGCGCGTGCTAAAGAAAGCCTCTGCCCCTGTAACTCGGGTGCGGTGCGCATCCGATGCAGGGTTGCTCGAAGAGTTGCCTGCCTTCCAGGCTGAGACACCCTTCGCCTAACGTCGAGGGGAAATCGATTTGTTCGTCGCACCTTATCGGCCAGAGGAATAAGCAGGAGAAAAGAAACTGGGCTGCGTCACTTGAACATTTCACAAGTTTTATTATTTTTTACGATTTCTTGCTATTTGGAGTACTATTTGGATACTATTATGTCATTACATCCCGATAAACAGTTGCGTTGATCGTCGTGATCATTTATCATTTTTTTTATCCTCTTTAGGATTGAAAGATCATAATCACCTCTTCGTTGCCGCTACGGTCGAAAAAAATCCATGCGAACTCGCCCCTCATCCCGTTCGTGTCTCATCCTTGTTCGACTAACCCACGTTGACATGTGTCCGTCACATATGGACAACACGTGTGCGTAGTGTCCCTTCGTGTCCGTGCAACATCCTCGTTTAAATGAACTATTGTTCACGCTCTTTTGTCTTTTTTTTTCTATTTCTAAAAATTTATTAGTTGGAGAAAATACGCTACTTTAATTCTGTGACTATTTTATCCGTACTGGTTATGTCAAACGTCATAATATTAAGTATAATTTTTAATGACGAATGATGAAGTTAAAATTTAGAAAATTGTAACAAAATCTTTCGAGTTTATCTTCGGAATCTTTTATTCTCGTTTTCAGTATCTCGTGTGTCGTCTTCCCGCGTAAAAGATACTTTCTCTCTCTCTCTCTCTCTCTCTCTTCCCCCCCCCCCNTCTCCCCCTTTTACTCGCATAATCTTGTAACTTTTCAGAAACGAAATAATTTTGTAATAAAGTTCCTTCGATTCTATACAAAACGCACAGTCAAGTCTTTTTCGCTCGTCACTAGAATCCTCGAGGGTTTTTTCTGAATTACCGAAATACAACGTTGAGCTCACTTGCGCGAAAGATCTTTAAAGTTTTCTTTAACTCTTAGATATGGGTAAAGAATCTTTTGGGAATTACAGGTGAACTTTAGCAAAGAATTTCTTTTTGCATATATCGCTTTGCGCCACGGATTCTTTTTTTTATAACTTTTTTTTATAGATTTATGATTTTGAAAATATAATACATGATATGTGTGTATATTTTTTAGAAAAATAGATAATGTTAAAGTTTCTATATATAAGTTTCTATATATAAGTTTCTATGGTATCTTAAAATTACTCAATCAGGATTTAGGTAAAGGGAATGATGAATTAATTGACACATACAAAGATATATTTGCTCTTATAAGTAACATTTATTTTAAAGAAATATATGTAGGAAGACATTAGGAAAATGTCAGCAGTGCCTGCTGACGTTTAAAGCCGATATCACAATTTCAAAATTACGCCAAGTCTGCTATTTACTAATAATAAAGTATTAATATTACAAGTATCACAAATGAGACAACGCATTGCCGCAATGTAAAAAAATATATATGTATATATATCTTACTCTCTCTCTCTCTCTCTCTCTCTCCCTCTCTCTCTCTCTCTCTCTCTCTCAGGTATCCTCTAGTAAATTTTGATTATTTTCGCGAAAGATGCTCGTTTCGATCAGTCGATTGTCGATGACATACGATAAATTAAAATCTATATCTAGTCTAAATGAAATCACAGTTTAAGTGTCTCAATGTCCAAGCCTGACGCTCCTTTCCCACACCTCGTGGCCGATGACAGCTGTCCTCGATCTCGAGGACTTTGAGATCGGGTTTTCGCGGCAAGAAGACGAACGAACCTCGTAGTAGGCACAGGCCAGCTCGGATTCGCCCTTGAGGTAGATGCTCGGTGGTCCTCGACAACGTTAACGCTGACGGTGACTCCTCTCACGCCACTTGCATCTCGGGGACTTGGTGCTGTGAGAAGGCGCGCTCCTTGTAGCACAGGTCACTGTCGGCCATGCTCAGGGTCGTCCAGTAGAAATCGCCGGCGTGGGTGTGGGCGAAATGCACCGGCACGTAGCACTGACCAGGCACAACCGGCACGACGGTCATCTGCCCGTCCAGACAGACAGTGATGGCAGCTCCTTCCTCGGCGTCTTGCAGCTCCGCCAAGAGTCGACGCTCCAGCGACTCGTTAGCGTTGTTCTGATTGTCGACTTCCTCGGTGAAGATCTCCACCTGAGGTACAGCTTTCTGGCTCTTGTCGAAGGCACACTTGCTGGCGCGCTTCGTCCTCAAGAGTCGCAACAATGGCTTCAGCATACTGCGTATTCTCCTACCGCTGCCAACGGCCTTGCCCGACCTCTTCAGGTTGTAGAGATTGTCGTTGAGCTCGTTCTCGTACTCGAACACGTGGCTCATAGTGATGGCCGCCATTTTTCCTTTCGCTCTGTGCGTATCTTTCTCTCTCTCTCTCTATCTGTACTCTTTCGCTCTAGCTATCTCTTTCTTTCCAAGAGATCTCCTTCGATCCACGGGGGACACTGAACCGGTTTCTTCCTTCGAACTGACGGAACCCGAAGCACGTGGCGCGAACTGTCGTTCGATAGGAAACTCGGTGGAACGTGACAGCGGAGGATCTGTACTCTGTGAGTGCTTTTGGGTAGTTGCTTTGGAGCGAGACGCTAGTGAGCGAATGGTGCCTTAGCACGATCAACCCCGTCCATATATAGCCCCGGCGAGACTGCACGGGGTGACAGAGTGGGGAAGGCAGGTGCACACTGGCTGTGGGAACTCGGAGAATTCGGAGCTTCCCACGTCGGGGTCCACGCCGACCATCTGCCGCTCTTCTCCCACCTCCGCCATCGTCCCCCGGTTGCCCACCACCTATCTCGAGCATGCAGCACCCTGGCCACCTCACGCAGCCTCTCCGCGCTTGTGTACGTGCACAACCCCCGTCGTCACCCCCGCTCAGTCTTCTCTGTGTCGGTGGTTGTGGATTCTCTCTCGTTCCGTCGCGGCTCCGATTTCCAACGTCTTCGGCTCTCCCGAGGGGTCTCTCGCCCTACGATAGATCTGTACGGTCTCTCTGCGAGGGGGTGTTGTTGCCTCTTCATTCCCTGGGACTGGATCGGACCTGTTGCGACACGTTCGTGCACGTCACGCGAGTTCGCGTGACGTGAAACGGATTTTGTTGTCGGCTTTACACCGAATACAGAGTGTCCAACTTGTCGCGTCGTTGCTCCGGAGGCTGGCCGGAGGGGGCTTGGGGATAGCACTTTGGCCGCTTTACATCACGATATCGGTGATGATAGAGATGACAGTCGAGACGAAGAAGGCTCGATGTGTGCTTAATTGGAGCTTAGTCGACTGGTTTGATTCGCAGAAGCCATAACCCGTTTCATTAGAAACGTCCAATTACCTCGCGTAAGAAAAGAGGGGTGCGTGCGATCGATCGAGCGTATTCAATTTCGACACGCGAAATAGCGTGACGCGCGAGGTGCATCCTATTGTAAGCATTGTATGCGTCTCTTGGTCAGGGGGACGGTAGCAAGGTGCTTCTGCGCAATTTTGTACTTTATGTCTCAAGTCGAATTTACAACGTCGAAATTTTGCTCGTTAATTCACACGGCCGAGGATATTTTAATTTTCGGCCGCGACCACAGTCGAAAATTTGTAAGTCAGTCGAGAGATTAACGTAGCCGGCGGTAAGTCATAGTAATTAACGCGCGCTGGCGTTTTTCGTTCCTTCACCGTGCTCGAGAAAGAGAGAGAGAGAGAGAGAGAAAGAGGGCCGACCGTCTAGACGCCTCGTGATAGCCTCGTGCGGCAACCCCCGCTATTAAATACGTTCCGACTGGATTTTTTTGTTATCTCCGAAGCCGGGGGCCCCCCGTCTTCACGTGACACGTAATCGCGATGCGTCCATTAGCCCGCACGGTCGTAAAAAAAAAAAAGCGTGGAAGTTTTCTGAGGCGACAAATTTTTTTCACCTCCACCTCGCCACCCAACGAATTACCGAGTTCCCTTCACGGGCTGAGTTTTTTGACAGTCCTCCTCGTGTCGTCGTCGGGCATCAGGTGAATAGTCACGTCGGGCATACGTCGGCAATCGATTGGTAATCCTATACGTTTGCATACGCGTGTATACCCCAGAAGAACGACGTGTACACGTGTGATCGATATATAAAGGCGTTAAAAATACGGTATATTACTTGTCACCGCGTACAAACGCGAATCGATATCCATTATCGAGGGATTATGTCGTTTACATTTAGACGTGAAGTTATCGATCGTTCAGGAATGTTGGTTCGCTGCACCTGAGCACCGATGGAAAATTATCGAGAGGGGACGAGTGCGAGTTTGCGAGGGGGGTCTCATCGACACACAGCGATGTGCATTCTACCTCTCTCTCTTTCTCTCTACAGCAACACCGCAGGCAAACATCGTCCGCCCCTTTCGAAGGGGACAGGTAGTCGATCAGGCAGCCGTGGCTCCGACTGGAACCGTCCACTAGCTAGTGAACGTGTCTCGAACTCGGGGCGAGCTCGTGCCGGTGACATCGCGCAGGCAGGCGACGGGTCTCTAATGAAAATTGAGGAAACGGGTAATCTCGCGCCTTTCCTGTTAGACGCGGATTTAAACCGGTTTGCGGGCAGATCCGCGGATGTTCCCTGCGGGGAACTGACGACTCGCATCTTCACCTCTCTCGTCTACGTTAATCCACTTTAAGTCGACGGGACGAAGCGGATCCTCGCGGAGGACCCTCGCGCAGGATCGGATACTCCTCACAACCGGTTCTTCTTTAATGCAACCAAGTCAAATTTTAATTAATTCGAGAGCGCTCGCCCTCGCGGCGTCCCGATTAAAGTCGTGTGTTTTTTCGCGCGCGCGCGCGCACATCGTCCCGGAGGTGTCTCCGGCGTGGAATTAATAATTCATGATCATTTTACCTCGCAATGAGTGGAGTGGACGCACCTAGTGATCTAGGGAGGGGCAGGGGGGAGAACTCGCAGCGGGCCCGAAGAATTATGCCGCTTATGCTCCTGCCGGAAATTTATACTCGCGCATTTCGCTATGTCAGTAATAATACATCGCCCGGCGAGACGGGGAGAGTCCATGACGCGCGTGACAAATTTCGAGGATGCCTTCGCTCCCCTTTGAGCGGAATATATCACTCCGGTTCATTAACCGGCGGAACGGCACGGCGTAAATTTCGCGCCTGTGATTCTGGCATTAACGATCGCCGCTTTGCGACCCGGTGAATTACTGAATGTCGATACAACGCCCGCCGGTGTTGAAACGAACGTACACATTTTACACGGCTAATAAGTTACCGGTGGATTTGTGCGATTAGAGTAGACTCGCGTTGAAACGGCTGAATCGCACGGAGATATCCAGTCGTCGGCCCAAGGCCGTTACTCGTTCGCGGCGAATCTCGCGAAAAACGACGCGTTCGTGCCCCCCCCCCCCCC